CGTTGGTTTCCCTCATATTCTCGCTAACCTCATCGTCAGCGAACAGGCATGCATCTTGATTCGAAGTGACACTCGCCGTAACCCTCAATCTCCTGGTTACAACATGAAAGTCCCTCCCAACACCTACGACGAGGCCATGTGTCATTCAGACAGAGATTCATGGCTTGCAGCCATGAAACGGGAAATGAATCTCATGTCAGAGATGAGTGTTTATGAACTGGTTCCCCTGCCTACCAACCGGAAAGCCATCGGTTGTAGGTGGGTGCTCGAGTTTCGCGAAGATCAGAAGGGTGGGTCAGTCTTCAAAGCAAGATTGGTAGCACAGGGATTCTCACAGGTACCTGGTATCGATTTTGGGAAGACGTTCACGCCCGTTGCTAAGGCAGCGTCCATCAGAGTCATCTCTGCACTGGTGGCCCGTAACAACTGGGAACTCCATGCATTCGATGCGAAACGAGTGTTCTTGTGGGGCAAGCTTACCAAAGACATCTACATGCACCAGCCACCCGGTTTCAAGCAGTTTGCGGATGGCAGTGGGATTCTTGTGTGTCATCTCTTGTCCTCGCTGTATGGACTGAAACAGGCCACCTATGACTGGTATGAACTTTTGAGAGAAGTTCTCACTCACCTAGGCTTCCTTCGCATCAAGGCGGACTATGCGGTCTTCATCTATGACCATGTCAACAGTGACGGAGAGAGAATAATGTGCATCATCGCGTGGCATGTCGACGATGGCCTTGCTGCAGCAAGCAATCGTCCATTTCTCGTCTCGATTAAGAGTCCAGCCCATAGCGCTATATTAATACATCTTGAATGGACAACAGTCCATAAATACCGATACATACTTACCTATAACTATCCAATTGTCCAACAGGATGTATCCTTGAGGAGAATCATTTATAGAAGCTTTGGGCACTTGCCAGCTTACAAATCACTGCTCAAACAGATTATCCAATGTGACTGCATTTTTAGCCCCACAGTGTGGGAATTACCCCACAACGCCCAAAACATCGACCATTTTTGGAATCTCCACAATATCAATTATTCCCACACCCTCCCCACCTCACTGCAGCTTCACCACTACACCACAACAGGTCCCCCTTCATATATAAGTAGTAGTTTGGAATATATATGTATAATATAATATAATAGACCGCTTTTTTTGCTCATTTATGTACCTGCTCCTCCTCCAGAGACCATTTAACATATAATAGGATACAGAATACTTTCGCATTTTTACCCCTATGGTAGGGAAGTGTCCCAGGTTATTCAGAACATGTTTAGGAGTATACATGAAGGGATTCCCATCTTTATTTTACCTCCTGGAGCCTTCTGCATCAATAGATATAGCATATATATGAGAAAATACAAAATATGTTCTCATTTTAGTATTTCCTGGTGGATAGACTTCAAAAAATGATCCCTAGCATCATTTAACAGTAGGAACAATGTATCAGGAGCCCAGGACCACAGGACAAGACCTTGTTGTGTTGTATATCTCCCCTCTCCTGGTGGTTCACCCCCTGTGAAAATGTTTCCTGCAGTACTGGGCCTCAAGTATGGTAGGGGGTCTATTTCTATTCATATTTGGAGTATATATATCATATAACTAGCTCATTACACCAACAGGATCCTTCTACAGGAACAAAAACATAGAAAATCACATTTTCGATGTTTTTGATGTTTTTCAGCATCTTACCCTTGCACATATGATCCAACCTGCTCATATACAATTAGTGTAGCATATATACTTGCTTTTTATGACCAAGATCAGCTACATATAGGGCGGAAGTTTGGGATCTAATGTAAAGGAGACATTTTTACTGATAAGAGACCTCCATGATAATCAAGGGTATATTTAGTGATCAGAGGCCTGTAGTACCTCTCATATATATATTTGAAGATAGCATTGAAGTTTCAGAAAGATCCATGAAGTATTGAGTGAATGAGAAGCAAAATGATATATGTGTGAAAAGTGACAATACACATCTTTTCACACAAAAACATATTTATATATAATACAGGTCGAAGATTTTATTAAAAATATGTAGGATACATAGTAGACTACCTAAGGAACCTATACTACATACTGCCCTGAGAGTAGAGGATAGGTGGAAAGAATGTAGTGTAGATATGAGTTGACCCAGTATTAAAGTCCTACCACTGCTTAACTGACCATTTTCGATGTTTTGAGCATTTGAACTTTCCCACACTCAGTTTCTTATCTACTTCACTTCCACAACTCTCAGTTCTGGGTGGATCTTTCTGTAAATTAGGTTCTATGATATTGAATATATTTAAAATGTGCTCCAGGTGTCTGATCATTAAAAATTGATAAGTTGAACATATGGGCCTCTAATCCTACATATTTTTAATAAAATCTTCGACCTGTATTATATATAAATATGTTTTTGTGTGAAAAGATGTGTATTGTCACTTTTCACACATATATCATTTTGCTTCTCATTCACTCAATACTTCATGGATCTTTCTGAAACTTCAATGCTATCTTCAAATATATATATGAGAGGTACTACAGGCCTCTGATCACTAAATATACCCTTGATTATCATGGAGGTCTCTTATCAGTAAAAATGTCTCCTTTACATTAGATCCCAAACTTCCGCCCTATATGTAGCTGATCTTGGTCATAAAAAGCAAGTATATATGCTACACTAATTGTATATGAGCAGGTTGGATCATATGTGCAAGGGTAAGATGCTGAAAAACATCAAAAACATCGAAAATGTGATTTTCTATGTTTTTGTTCCTGTAGAAGGATCCTGTTGGTGTAATGAGCTAGTTATATGATATATATACTCCAAATATGAATAGAAATAGACCCCCTACCATACTTGAGGCCCAGTACTGCAGGAAACATTTTCACAGGGGGTGAACCACCAGGAGAGGGGAGATATACAACACAACAAGGTCTTGTCCTGTGGTCCTGGGCTCCTGATACATTGTTCCTACTGTTAAATGATGCTAGGGATCATTTTTTGAAGTCTATCCACCAGGAAATACTAAAATGAGAACATATTTTGTATTTTCTCATATATATGCTATATCTATTGATGCAGAAGGCTCCAGGAGGTAAAATAAAGATGGGAATCCCTTCATGTATACTCCTAAACATGTTCTGAATAACCTGGGACACTTCCCTACCATAGGGGTAAAAATGCGAAAGTATTCTGTATCCTATTATATGTTAAATGGTCTCTGGAGGAGGAGCAGGTACATAAATGAGCAAAAAAAGCGGTCTATTATATTATATTATACATATATATTCCAAACTACTACTTATATATGAAGGGGGACCTGTTGTGGTGTAGTGGTGAAGCTGCAGTGAGGTGGGGAGGGTGTGGGAATAATTGATATTGTGGAGATTCCAAAAATGGTCGATGTTTTGGGCGTTGTGGGGTAATTCCCACACTGTGGGGCTAAAAATGCGGTGTGGCAATATTGTGGGAAGTCCTGACGAGCCAAATAGGAGTGAATTTCTGCTTTTAGAAGCCAGGATAACTATACTAACAGGATGTATCCTAGACTGATGGATAACTATAGTAAAGTATGTATCGCAATTTATGGATCATTAACCATATTGATGTATCTTTCTGCCATCATGTGGTGAAGAGTCAAATTGGACAACACTTCGGCATTACAGACCTCGGGCCCATATCAAAGCATCTCAGGATCCAATTCGAGCGTAATCGCACTACGTGCGAACTCTGGATGCATCAAACAGATTATATCAACTACCTCCTTGAAGAGCACGGGATGCTTGGATGTAACGCCGTCACTCTTCCCATGGACCCTCACTTTCCATTTGGACGTGACACCGACCTACACCCTCACATAGAGGATCTCACCTCCAAATATCGTAAGATAGTAGGTGAACTACTCTACCTTGCCATGTACACGCGCCCAGATATCGCTGTCTCCGTCATGAAACTTGCTCAATACAACAGCTCGCCAGAATCGCGTCATTATGCCACTGCCAAGCACATTCTCCACTTCCTTGCTGATACCGTCAGTCTACGCACACACTATGGGGGTGTCACGGCAATTCCTGAACTTCATGGGTTTAGCAATTCAGATTGGGCGAGTTGTCCTGAAGATTGCATCTCGATCTCAGGCTACACCTGGTTCTTCAACGGTGGCCCTGTTTCACACTCGTCCAAGAAACAGGTTACCCACGCGCTATCCTCCACAGAGGCGGAATATATGGCCCTTACTGCAGCTATTCAAGATGGTTTGTGGCTCATATCATTCTTCAAATGCTTAAGGATCCCACTGTCCCTCCCACTTCATCTGTTCGCTGATAATGCTGGCGCCATCACTCTATCTGAGGAGGCCACAAATCATATTCGTACCAAACACATCGATCTGCAATATCATTTCATACGCGCGCACATCGAGGATGGGACCTTCAAGCCAGTATGGCTATCCACTCACAAGAATGTTGCTGACATCTTCACCAAATGTCTCCCTCGTCCATTATTCCTTCATCACCAATCCGGACTCTCGCTCGTTGATCATTAGCACGGGTTGCAACATCACCTTGCTTGCAAGGTCATATGCCATCTGACAAAATCTGACGGACTAACTGCCAATAATAAACAATAATAAATATCAATAAATGTTGAATGTGGCTGTATGTCATGACATTAGGATGCAGTTTACAGTTTTTGAACCATGTCGCAATAGCTCAATTCTGCCCTGGATAAATTAACAATGAAAGAGATCATAGCTGCAGTAGGTGATGACAACTTGAGAAAAATCCGAGACCATGCAGGCAAGCAAGGTCAGATTCGGCAACGCCGAACCCTAGTTGTCATGTTGTGGGGGTGTCTTGAGTACCGGTCTTTGTCATCGTCACTATACTTCGTCACCGTTCGTCATCGTTCATAGCACTTTCCTTCTTTATATTCGTCACGTGGATTACATATATAATACGCACCTTCTTCGTCAGGCCATACCTCAGTCGTTGTCTTCACACACTGAGGTATGGTTCATCGTCTCTTATCTTTCCGCCGTCTCTTACTACAACTTCATAGCGTGTTTCGTGTCTTAGGTACTAGCAATGTTCAGTCGTTGTCTTCACACACTGAGCGTGTTTCGTGTCTTAGCTTCTAACACTTTCGACTCCGATGGATCCTGCAAACTACACCTACCTTTCACCAAATCAAAGAAAACGTGTAACGAAAATGTCATTCTGTGTCATCAACGAGACCAGGCCGCCCCGCCAGCTTTGGTCTCTCTACTTGCTCAGGCCACTCATTCAGCATTGGTAGAACAGTGGCATTTCTACTGTCAGGAGCCCCAACCCCGGGCCGATGTTGTTCAAGCTCGTGGACGTTCAATGGTCTTCCCACTTTGTCCTCTGCTATTGGCTCTCTCTCGAACTTCTAGCATGGTTGCACAAGCAGAACATCTCTAGTTATTTCATGCTTGCTTTGCTGTATTTCCCGATCGAGTTGTGCCTTCGTCTACAGCTTCGTCCTGCCCGTGGCTTGGGGCGGGAGTCTCCTCAACGTTCACTTGATCTCCATGTTTGTCTCTTATGACCAATCCGACAAGACCATCTGTAACCTTTGCCCAACTCAGGGAAAGCTTATCTTCTGTTCACATTACCCAACCTTCACTCTGTTTCCTTTTTCTAGTTCACTTACCTACACTAGAGCCCGAAGCAGTCCGTGACGGGTATATACGCACAAAAAGTAAACCATTCTGGCACATCCAAGCTTGTTGGTGATGTGAATATCTTTATGTCCCTCCTCCAATTCAAGACGTGGGAGTTGAGGACCGAATAAGTCTGCTCCGCTCTTCAGTCTTCTGCTAGCTCCGCGCAGTTAAAAGGCTCACTTCTTTGGTTGAGTATCTACCCACGCACCTCCCTAATAATGTTCCCTTCAGTTGATGGTCACCTTGCTATCCTTGTCGTCTTACCTGCTTTTGTTGTTGTCATCACATCCCTCAAGAGGTTCATTAGGAATCGACAGGACAAACTTCCCCCCGGCCCCGTGCCACTCCCACTGTTAGGAAACGTCTTGTCTCTCGACGCCAAGGCGCCATGGTTGACTTATACCGAATGGGCTGCTACTTATGGTACGTGGTCAGATAGTACTATGGTACATATGTGGTGCAAATCATTATATCAGGAGACTTGTTTTTCGTGCGACTTCTAGACCAGGAAGTCGTGGTGATCAGCTCTCAGCAGGTTGCAGAAGCATTGCTAGACAAGCGTTCTCGCATTTATTCCGATAGACCATACGTAGCCACACTCGAGCCGTGCGTTCTCCTGATGTTCTTCCATTTAATCATTATGGAGCGCCTGAGGCAGGTTTGGTTGGTCTGTCAACTTTGCATTCACAGCTTATGGTGACGAATGGCGTCTTTGTCGACGACTCTTCCATCAAACTTTCCATCCCGACTCCGCGCTCAAGTTTCGTCCAATGCAGATCGCGCGGGCTCGTGAGATGATCGTCAATCTAATCGATGATCCTCAACATTATCATTCTCACTTCGCAACGTCAGTCGATGTGTCTGTAAATATCGAATGATTATTGATCTGTTCATAGGTTCTCATCATCTGTTGCGATGTCAGTGACATACGGCTACCAAACCAGTCCTCGTGATGATCCTTTGATTCGGATCGTAGAAAACGCAATGGCTATTGGCCTCGAGGTGATCACCCCAGAGAGAGCAATCTTACTTAAAATATTTCCCTTCTGTGAGCTCGTCCTCATCGATCAGAAGTACTCAACGTTCCATGCTCTGATATAGTTTTGAGATTACCCGACTGGTGCTGGGGATCCGCGATCAAACGTGATGCTCGAGTTTCGACCCATCTCATGGCTGAAATGAAGGACCTTCCGTTCCAATATGCGCAGGACCATATGGTGCGCATCTTTTTTAATCTAGTTCGCTCCTAGATGCTGATCGTGTGCTTGTAAAGGCTGAAAACTTGTTCCTCGGCCAGGTTTCAATGGTATCAGATAATTTGCAACGGATGAAGAAGCCAGATCAGGCATCAAAGCCTATCTTCGAGACTGCCTTAAAGAAAGCAGCGACTACTGCTATTATAGGTTAGCCACTTTTTAGAAGAGCTGTTGTGCTCTTTAATATATGTATGTCTATGCAGGTTCATATGAGACGGTCAGCAGCTGTCCGAGTCATATTGTCTGCTGCTCATCCTCTTGACAGACCTCGTCGACCTTGATGACTTTTGCTCTCGCCATGGTATTATATCCAGATGTCCAGAGACGCGCACAAGCGGAGATCGACTCAGTGGTTGGAGGAGATCGCCTGCCTACATTTGAAGACAGAGCCTCCCTACCCTACATCGAATCAGTCCTGCGGGAAACCTTGCGATGGCAGCCCGCTGTACCCCTTGGTAATATTCTTACTGTGCTGTTTTGCCTTTGCTGAAAGTAATCTTGTAGGTGTTCCACATGCTACGATGAGTGATGATATATATGATGGTTATTTCATTCGGAAAGGTTTGCTATTCTCATCCATTGAGTACATCATTTGTAATATCACTTATCAGGAACAACTGTCGTGTGCAATACATGGTGAGATGGATCCTCTCTGGCTTTCGAATCACTAATGCTTATATTATAGGGGCATCTCACGGGATGAAAAACGGTACCCTGATGCATCTCGTTTTATGCCGGAGAGGTTCTTAGACGTGAGCGGTGCCCTAACGGACGATAACCCCGCTGGATATATTTTTGGCTTTGGCCGGCGTGGATGTCCAGGTGGGTTGAGTCATTTTATTGCTGTATAGAGCTAATACATTCTTTTATCAGGCCGATATGCTGCTGATGCCTCTCTGTGGTCCGCTATTGTTACTATATTGGCCACGGTGGAGTTTTCTTCTGCCAAAGATGACCAGGGCAAAGTGATCGAATTCACCCCCCGATTCACGAAGGGAGCCACTCGGTACTTGGTTCTTCTCGTATTATTCCATCTTCCTGTCACTAATAGTTTCATCGCTTTAGCTCCCCTGTGGTCTTCCCTTGCAATATCTCAGCACGCTCTCGTACCCATTCGGAACCTGTGCATGTTTTCCAAACAGAAGTATGAAATGTTTTCGTGCGAATGGTTTGTACACATATATATTCCTTCTTTCTTGGGCCCACACTCTGAATTTGTCCAGCATTCAACAACACTACTTTTCCCTGTTTGATGCACGTGTTATGTACGAATTAGCATGTAGTATGAAATTCAACCGCCTGCTTGCGTGTGTACGAGATGCAACTAAAATAGTTAGTCTTGTAGGCAGACCCAATGATAAAAGGAAGATAGTGATTCACTTGTTAGTGGACGTCATGGTTGACATGAGTCCCGAGGCAGATTGGTTCTGCAGTGACATGTGCAGTAGTAACATCAGCTTTCAAAAGAAGATAATTTTTTTAATCTTGAAGTCATATATATGCTTGTCTGTACGATGGCTAGGATGTTTGGCAATTAGTGCTGCCGCAGTCTGGTTCCGAACCTCGGTTCGAACCTGAACCTTTCCGAACCGGACGCATGGTCCGGTCCAAGGTTCGGCCAAGACTCAGAACCGAACCTTTCCAGAGGTTTGGGGTTTGGGCTGGTAGTGAATAGGTTCGAACGGGTTCAAACCTCTCAATTTTTGTAGGCTTTACACTTTTTTAAAAAGATGTAAGTATTTACTATGTGTCAATATATGCAAATGCATGTGTCTGCAACCCGCGCAGGTTTGAGCCGGGTGAAATTGACGCGGTCCTCTGTCGCGCCTGCCGCAGTCGTGACGTGCTGTGACACAGTACTGCACCGTCACAACATGTTTAAACACTAGGTATCTTATGTCGCTATATGAATTCCAAACACTTTGAACTCTTGCTAATGATTAATATAGGTAAGTACTACTTGGGAATGTTATGAGCCATGCTGATCAAAGTCGTTGCTTATTGTTCGCAGGAAGTGAGTATGTCAAGATTTTTGAGCTCGAACCATTCTGATCCAAATCGTTGGCGGACCAGGCCACCGTTCCTCGTTCGAACAAGAGCCGTGCTGATCCAAGACGTTGGCCACCGTTTGCAGGTCGTGAGTGTGTCGATCCTTGTTCGAGCAACAGCCATGCTGATACAAGTCGTTGCCCACCGTTCGCAGTTCGTGAGTCTGTCGGTCTTCGTTCGAGCTCAAGCTATGCCGCAAGTTACCGTGTTCATCCTTGAGGGTCTCAGGTGGAGACCTGTCACTATTGGAGGTACGTCTTATTTCAGTTGTGATGATGCAATAATGGACGACCACCTTTCACTACAGGCTTTGCGCATCGCGCGACGATGCAGGTCGTGTGCGCGGTGATCACTGATCTCAAGTTTTTCACTTTTGGTTTTGGCCGCTGGTGAGTGGTATCGTTCATCTTTCCACCTTTTCTCATGCCTTACTTGAAAATACTAGAGTGTGTCCTGGTCAACATGTCGCGAATCGGTCCATCTTCATCAATACAGCTGTTATTCTCTGGGCTTTCCGCCTTTCAGAGAATCCTGCAGCGAAGATTGACACGCTTGCAATCTCAAATACTGCAACCATACATGCTGCTGCATTTGAGATATGTTTAGAGAAGAGGATCGATGAGAATGTGATCAGGGAACTATGTGCACCAGGCAAATAAAATGTGTTTATTTTAGAAACTTGAATTCAATCTTTGTACAAAGAAGTTCTCCTTGTGTTAGAGTCTTTTCGTTGTCTGTCCAACTCGAATTACATGACAACTCATGGTCTCAAGCCTATACAACCACAGATGGTCCAAGCCTAGTCAAACCTGGTTTGAACGCGAACCGGACCCTCCCGAACGCGTTCGGTGACGTTCGGTCCAGGGTTCGACCAAATGGCTGAACTGAACCATAGGTTCGGTTCGGTGTTCGGAAAATTTGCCCCAAGAACCGAACCGAACCGGACTTCGGCAGCACTATTGGCAATAGCTCGTCTGCTGTACCGCAAAATTACCAAATTCAGTATACCTCTAAAGCATGGGGAAATTCAAAGGTGGCCTTATGTACATTTTTCCCGAGCTGGTACCTCCTACTCTTTTCCCAACCATGAATCACCCTTCAAAGAACCAGGCTTCGACGACCTACTGCTGGCAACTGAAATAATTAATTATGCCAACGACACTTTTGAAATGAAAAGGGCCGTGTCATTCAATCGCTCGTCGTCATTGATTCATCGCAGAATTCATTATCGCCGTCACGGTTGCCCTCAGTCAGCATTCCAACTTCTCCATCAGAGTTCACCGGATCTTCAAGGTCCAGTTCGAAAATCTCAGCATCGGGGTTACAGCTGAATGCACCCGGATCACTGTCGTCAGCAGGATAGGCTCGTCCCATCTTTGAACAGTCTTCGAGCCCAGGCACCTCATCATGTTGTGCTCCTAGTCCGAGGTTATCGTTAACCTCACCCTCCGGCAATTCGATATCTTCGTTCCCCACACCATCGTTGCCGTAGTCTGGATTGTCGTCGAAGTCAGCCCCTGCATCATCTGTGGGGCAATATCCACTTCCTGCATGTGCCATGCTCGAGACTATCAGCAACATTGTAATGTTTTCCGACAATTCTCCTGACCCAAAGCATCTACTTCATATGCGTGAGAAGGTCCGAGGGACCGAGTGCATGCTGGTGCCTGCCACCTGGTAGCCGTTTGAGCCGTTTTGAAGCTTCTGTCCGCTACCGTGTGGGTTGTACTTGCACTTGAAGCTTTTGCAGGTGCACGGAACATAGGATTGCAAAAGCATCGCAGGAGGGAGTACTAGTCAGTGGAAGCTAAATGCTAACGATGGCCCCATGTACGATATCGATATTAACAAATCCCTCAAGTCTCGCGCTGCTGTCCGACGGTGAATGCAAATTGTGCATGTCAGTCATGCTGGTGGACTATCGTCAAATTTTCAATCTCACACTTAGCTGGGAGACTATTTTGCTTCAAAATGCATCTGAAGATACAACAGGTGTAATCTACTCGCAGCGTCTGTAGGTGAGCGGGTTTCTTGTACTATCGTGCCCCGGGTTCAATCGAAAGTTGTACCAGACAGTCCGAAGCTCAATGGAGGTGATGTGTCCTCATCGCGGATTCGCCGCCCCCCTCCGTCAGTTCACACTTCTCTCTGGTTCCACAACACCATCAACTAATCAATGCGACAATCTCGAGTTATAGGTCAGCTTCACTTAACATGGTCTGTTAACTTCGTCACTTCGTTACCTTATGTGCCAGCGACCCGATGGCTACCTCCCCTGGTTTACTCTCTTTCCCTACCTTGCTCATCCGCTATCTTCCCTTGGGCTCGCCTTTCAGTTTGGGATGGCACAAGTGAGTCTATTTCAGAGGTGGTACCTGGAAGGGGTGTACTTTGCGGGAATTAACGTCATACTGCGATTTCATAGTCTGGCGTATTTGGTGTTAATTCTGCACAAAAGTCTTTGCCCGACTGAAAGTTACAAAGCTATTCATGAGTTCGATGGTGAATGATGAGCGAGTAGGAGTTAATATGGAAAGTAAGCCTGTATTGAAGGTCATGCTGCTATATCTAAGCGTGCGGTTCCGCAGTGGGTGGCGCTCGTTACAAAGTTGCAGGAACAAATAATAACACTGGGTGACTTCTCGTAAGAATTTACAGAACAAAGACGTCTGTCAAACATTTGCAAACTTGACAGCAGCTAATTTAGACAAAATCTGTAAACTGTAAGACATAGAAACATGAATATACAGTCGGTTTTCCTTAATCTGGGCCGTGCCATAGATAGTGTCTGACTTGCTGCACCATTGTGATCACTACTAATTGCAGAGACAAAACTTGCAGGTATATTAGTGAGAGATGTTGAAATCCGCCCAAGGATAATCGAAATGTGAAGAGGGATAATATTTTCAGATATTTTCAGAGAGACCGAGCACGAAGTACAAGGTCAGATGCAAGATCGGAGTCCATTGATAACGAAAAATACACAAATGATCCGTTCAAGAGTTCCGAGAGCGAGACATCTAAAAAGAGTAAGAAAATTGCCTGAATCAGCGCGGAGATGATTGACAGACATCTGTTGGAGGGGTACCTCTGGGTACCTACCCCTCCACAGAATGGAAAATTTGCAGACAGTCACCGGCACCCACTGTTACACAGTGAGTGTGCCTATTAAATATCGAGGTACTCGTGTGCTGACGAATTTCACGTGAGATTAAAATTTATATTACTCGCTAATTACAATCTGGCAGAATAAAATATCACGCATGGTAACGGCATGATGAATTTGATATGCTGGGCTCGGCAAAATTTTACTTTGAGGTAAACCTGTCTCGACAAGTTAGCGCCTCCGCTGACCTGGGTTCCATATGGATTTTTCATGGATCCTTTATAAAGCCTGTCTCGTGCTTTGGATGTACTGCTCTAAACATGTACTATCCTTCAGTCGATGGCCGCCCTGGTATCCTTACTATCTTACCTCTTTCCCTTGTTGTTATCATAGCCCTCAGGCGGTTTACTAACAACCGACAGAACAGACCTCGCCCTCCTGGCCCAGTGCCGCTCCCACTATTAGGAAACATCTTATCTATCAACACCAAGGAGCCTTGGTTGTCGTATACCGAATGGGGTGCTGCCTATGGTACGTGTAGAGACAGTATGACGCATATGTGGTGCAAATCGTTATATCAGGAGACTTGGTTTTCGTGCGACTTCTAGGCCAGGAAGTCATATCGATCAATTCACAGCACATTGCAGAAGCCTTGTTGGACAAGCGTTCTGATATTTACTCTGATCGACCATACTTACCCACAGCCGAACAGTGCGTTCTTCTATTATCGACTTCATTCAACCAGTTTGAGATGCAGTCAGATTCGGCTGGTCCGCGATCACCTTTGCATTTACAGGCTATGGCGACGAATGGCGTCTTTCCCGACGACTCTTCCACCAAGCTTTTCGTTCTAGCTCTGCACTCAAGCTTCGCCCGATGCAGATCAGACGAGCTCGTGAGATGATCGTCAACCTAATCGATCACCCTCAACATTATCATAATCACTTCGCAACGTCAGCCAATATGTTTGTAAATATCAAGCAATTATCAACTTATACACAGGTTCTCGTCATCAGTCGGGATGTCTGTTATATACGACTACCAGCCCAGCGCACGTGATGACCCCCTCGTTCGAATGTTGGAAGATACAGTGGCTGTTGGCCTTGAGATGACGACTCCGAAGAATGCAACCTTGCTTCAACTCTTCCCCTTCTGTGAGCTCACTCTGGCTGATAAGAAAGATTTGACATCTCACACCCTCATGCAGTACTGAAGTTACCTGACTGGTGCTGGGGATCCTCGATCAAACGTGCTGCTCAAAATTCGACTAATCGTATGAATGAAATGAGGGACTTGCCATTTCAATCTACGCAGCAGCATATGGTGGGCTTTGCTTTTCTAATATAGTTCGGAGCTACATGTTGATTGCATGTCTGCAAAGGCTGGAAACTCGTTCCTCGGTCAGTCTTCAATGGTCACAGAAAATTTGCAGCGGATGGAGAGGCAAGACGAGGCGTCCAAGCCGATGTTCGAGATTGCCCTGAAGAGGGCAGTTGCAGCTGGTGTTATGCAGTCATATGAGACGGTCAGCGGATGTCATGAACCATATTGTGTGCTGCTTGACCTCTTCACAGACTTCTTCGACTTTGATGGTTTTTGTTCTCGCTATGGTGTTGCATCCAGATTTTCAGAGACGCGCACAAGCGGAAATCGACTCGGTGATCGGAAGAGATCGCTTACCTACGTTCGAGGACCGAGCATCACTACCCTATGTTGAATCCATTGTGCGGGAGACTTTCCGATGGCATCCCATTCTACCCCTCGGTAATCTTCATCGCTGTGTTATTTTGCCTTTGCTAATGACAATATTGTAGGCGTTCCACATGCTACCTCGAGTGATGATACATACGATGGTCATTTCATTAGGAAAGGTCTGTTGTTCTTATGTAATGAACAAATCATTTGTAATATTATACATCAGGAACGACCGTCATGTGTAACATCTGGTCAGATAGATACTTCTCAAGTTTCAAGATACTGATGTCTCATTGCAGGGCCATTTCACGGGATGAAAAACGGTACCCTAATGCATCTCGTTTTATGCCGGAGAGGTTCCTAGATGTCAACGGCGCGTTAACAGATGATGATCCCGCGGGATACGTTTTTGGTCTAGGCCGGCGCGCATGTCCAGGTGAGCTGATCCACCTCACTGACCATATAGCATGCGATCCAATATCTTCTTTAATTAGGACGGTATGCCGGTGATGCCTCTGTGTGGTCTGGTATCGTGACTATGTTAGCCACGATGGACTTTTCTTTTGCCAAGGATGACCAGGGCAAAGTGATCGACTTCATCCCTGAATTCAACCCGGGACTCGTTCGGTACTTTGTTTCATTATCTCGTCCTTCTGTCACTAACAGTTGCATCGCCTTAGCTCCTTGATGCACTTCCCTTGCAATATTTCACCACGTTCTCATGTCCATTCAGGACTTGAGGATCTTCTCTGATCCAGGTTCCAGAATGTATACAAACTCGCCTATGAGAAAGTGGGTAACACATAAACATGCCTCGCAAGGTGCAGTTTGCGGGATGCTGAGTCCACGAATTGACGCTCAAAAGAAGTCAACATACGCTAGGCACCATGTATTCGTTTATACTCGTTCGTATGTGGTATGATTGATTTGAGGTGCCGATGGCCATATCGATATGCTGTGCCCCGCTATGCGATTCCTCGAACGTACCCACTCTCAAACACTCTGGAGAAACGTGTGAAATGAGTCGGCCTCAAGTTCGACATCTATATTCCAATTGTCTATGAATACTGACAAGTCTTGTGAGTGAGGACAATGGCAGAGAGCACTGCGAATAGCCCAATAGTGTGAAAGGATTCTGGTCCGCAAATGAAAAGGCGCGAATGCATCCCACGGGCCTCACAACGGGGAATACAATTCACATAGTAGCGAAATTTGAAGTGTAGAGAAAGAGATGAGAGTGCAAAAGAACTCGACGAAAAGATGAGATAGTTGTCCACAAGTGCAGTATCAATGACCATTGGCGTGTGGATGAGATGTATGACAGAAGAACAGCATGAGACGAGCCCACAGGGATATAGGTTGGGACTACAGTCTGTGCGGGTTGCTGCGCCTCGTGTGGTGATGTTAGTACCTGGAGTGGGTGTTGTCACTGGACGTCAAGGGAGCGGCAGGCTGAGTCAGTGATGACGACGCCTTGGCTTGTGTTGACCGTGCTCCTGCTGACAAGCCTGTTTGTTGTGTTTGTTGGCCTGGCCGCGAAGTAACGGCTGTAAAGAAGGTATTTAACCATGGCGATTTCAAACGTATGCGAAGAAAGTTGTACCTTTCTATCCTGTACTGCTAGAGCTTCGACAGGTAAGAGGACTATGACGAGAGAAGATAAAGACACTGCCTGGGGAGGATGTTATATTGTTGCAGCCACATGCCCTGCACGTCGGGAACATACGCTTGCCCACCCAAGATACCTTCCGTACCGACTTCCAAAGATACACGAGTGACTTCATTGGCGAGTATAGACAATTAGGCAACCATAGAATTGACGGTCATCTTCAAACCTAGCATTTCTCCCTGCACATCGACGTTGACGACTTTGCTTAGATCGCCCAAGGCGACAGCTTTTGTGACCTCCGAGATCGATCGTACTTGGTCAGTCAGATTGCTAGCCATTTTTCATAAAGTCAGCCCAGGTACCCTGCACACCTTCTACGCGAGCCTGACCACCCAATATACCTTGCGTACCGACTTCAAGTGCGACACGGGTGACTTCGGATGTATTCTTCAAATCAAGGATTTCGCCACGAGCATCGACATCGATCTGTTTTGTTGACCCATCGTCCAACGTCAGGTTCAAAAGGAGGTGCATAACTCCAGGCGGCTGGCATATCGATCAACCACCACCCGCAAGACCGTTTTCCAGTCAATGCCGCTGGTTGTCACGGGTGGTCGCACTAACGCTTGAGATAGCCTGTCTTGGGTACCTTCGACATCCAACACGAAGGAAAGGGACAAAAACAAAAATGCAGTTAAATTGCTTCGCCAGTTCAGGGTTCAGAGCAACTCTGTACGCCCTGACCGGGTCTGCATTTACACTGGGATCAGGTCAGGGTTCGGAGCAACTTCGGACTGCCCTGGCCAGCCCAGGTAAAAAGAGAAAGTGCGGGCGAAGTTGACAGAATGAGTACTCACTTCCACGAGTTCTTGCTGTGTCTTGGGAGATTGATTAATTCCCACAGGTTCGGAAACTTCCATTTCAGCTGGCCAACCGCCCTGAGCAACTCGTGCTGATCAGACTTGAGTTCGATGTGGAGCATCATAAGATGCGCGAGATCGCCGTCACCCACTGGCTCCCAGTCTGATTACTAGGACGGTTTCTCCGCTCTTGACATCTCACACCCATGCAGTCCCGTCGTTGGATCCGCCGACCACTCGCCGACCATCTGTACTGCAGCATACTGACGACATCCAATTAGTGCGCCTTGTCCATTTGACATCCCACAACCTCGCCTTCCCATCGTTGTTTCCGCTCATACCGGTGTTGCAATTTGGAGCCAACATTTTCTATGGTGAATGTTGCTTCCTTGTCCTCCTCGTATTGCCAGCCGTTGCCAATCTGTGCACCACTAATCAGGTCCCCCCATAGTCGGAGTGATCCATCTTCCGAACATGTGATGATGCGCCGTCCCGCCAGGCAAGTGCAGAATACCTCATACCTGGTCAGTATCATAGCCTCACATTGTCTTTCGGGGCGTGATCGCTAGCGTATCACCGGTCAGAGAATACACGGTGCCGCTCGATGTCTCATTTGGACTACGAGAGAAGCGTACCGAAATATCTGAATGAGAACGGGTTCTCTGGTAATGACAAACATAGATGGTGAGTCGACGGGCCTACTGCTATCAATAAAAGCACGAGGCAAAGCTGACGAGAACGTGTGCTTGGCTTAGGAACTACGTCTACGTATGTAGGTCTTGCTGTGGTGTTATCTATGGTATCCGAGCGGTCGGTTTACAGCCTAGAGTATCACCCACAACAAACTCTTCAAACCAATTGACACAAATAGTGATACTCCAATCACCAATGCAAAGGACGAACTGTACACTGAGACGGTGGACCTTTGGTTTGGAGCCGAAGAAGTTGACCATCCGTTCGTTTAAGTTGTGTATTATGGTGTGTATTGTTGTCCACATGTTTGCATCACAGCTCAAGTGCTGTGTAGACGAATCACTCAAATCTTTGACCGGCGATATGTTGATGGTATTGACGACGTTCGACGATGAACCACATGTTCTCTCCACTTCCCATTTTTGTTCCAGCCAATCTCTAACTCGATGACATCGACCCATATTCGTTATTCTGATGTAGACCCGTGTCTTGTCACACTTTGTACGAGATTCGTGGCCGCACTATATGTAATACCCCGCGAATCAGTCGTTGACCACCTCAGGACAATCTAACTTCGCGCCATGCCAAAGAAATCGACACTAACATCTGGAGTGACTCAACTAGGTTTACAAGATGCCTTGTATTTTGTATGTGGTATGTGTATCCTCATGTTTACAAAAAGAAGAGCACAAACACCATACTACTACAGTACATGCAAATATAGAAACCAGGACGCTCCAATCCCACAACTACAATGGTAATGCAGCGTTATAGATGAAAGACGAACAAAAGTAGGTCGTGCCAAGAGTAGGTCATCCTGTTTGAAAGCAGTCTGATGTAGCTGATACAATCGACATTGGGAGGTGGCATCTAATCCCATCTAACAAGTGATCGCCAACTGACACCTGGTAAGGATCAGATTATGATTGATCGAATTGTCTACAGCCTAGCTCTCTCGATCAGTATCTTGAAGGCTTTAATGCATCTTGACCCCAGGTGCAGGGACTTGCGAAGCTGAGGTCGATGCCGCAAACGACGGGTCTCCTTTAAATGGCTCAACCCTTTCATTGAGAAGGCGTCAGCCTGGGCAGGTATTGCTTGTGTGACCGTCCTACAGCACTACTGAAATCATATATCATATGCTCATCAGGGTCATACGTTCAACGCATAGGCAGAAACAAAGTCCACAGTCGGATAAACGTCTTGCTTGATCATATTAGCCAAGTGTTTTGTGACTTTCTGCAATGCTTCGTCAGACGAGGAAAAATCTATTTTCACATACCCCTCCCCTTCTGGTTGCGGATCATTATTCGTAAAAACCTCTGCGTCTGCAGTCTGATGTATAGCGACTTTGATCTGATATCATTCAAAGGTGACTATCCTCCGAATTCATCTTCTGCGGCTCTCCTTCGAAGTTCGTGATCGTAAGAACCATGAGAACCATGAGAACCATCTTCTCGCAGAAAAATTAGTGCAAGAGCCGGTGATCCATTGCTCTGATACGTAGCAGGGACTGCTAACTGTGAATAGAAGTAGATCAGTCCCATCTTGTCTATCAATTAATTCGTTGATGAACCGATAGGTGTTCTCAACAGACCCGATGAGCTCTTTCGTTCTCACCTGGGTTCCAGACAAGGGGGATCATCAGAATACTATCATGATGCGGTATTTTGTTGAGTTTGTAGAACCCATCGTATAAAAGACAATGATTGAATGGAGACCGAGTTCCTTATGCCCACGCAAACTGATCGGTCGCTGCCAGACTCTCGAATGTCCTACGGTCCTGGCATTTTTGGATACCCTCTGGCTGCCCAAGTCTCACGATGAGCTTACGACGTTTAAATTTGTGATGGGCCAGTTCAACACCAAAGATGGAAAGAGCTTAACGGAAGTGTTCACGGTCTTTTTCTTTTTCAACTTTGATAGCTGGGCGGGACACAGTGCTTGGTTGTTCCCGAAAATCCTTGAATTGAGCTGACTCTGACTTGCAGGGATTTTAACGACCGAAATATTGTTGCCTCCTCTTTTATCATTGCCCGGAAATCGGACTTCTCAGGCTTCATCAAGTTCAAATTTTATAGCTATTATTCCAGGCATGCGGCCACAGACGCGCGCAAAAACTACAGCTTCCGCTCCTACCCATGACATTCCATCGTCATCTCCTGCACCGGCCACTACTTCTTCGCCAACTCGTGCTATACCGTATACGCGTTCCAAGGGACCCGCAGCGGCATCAGCAGAACCGATTAACAGTACTGCTCAACCTCGCGTTCGTACACCACTGACAATTCGCCTGCCAAGAGCATCGCTTGTAGGACATGGGACGACATTATCCATCGCAAATAACGTTTCTACCTCGTCTCTTACCGCTTCTGCACCTGCTGTTGGTGTTAATATCGGTGCTGGTGCTCCTATTCCCACCTCATCCATACGCACTCCCATACCTGGACCTACTCCGCGGGTACTTACACCACCTCCGACGTCATCCAATGTATCACAACCTACATCCACAACCTCTCCGCGGCCTCCTTCATCTGCGCTATCACCAGCTATAACTGCATCAAAACCTACACCTGTATCATCCACCCGCTTACCTGCTCCACCTATTTACACTTTCCCACCACCCCCACCACCTCCAAATCACGTCGATGACCCTGCAGCTGCAGCGCGTGCCTCATCGACCATACAACTCCCTGCATCTGTGACACCTAATGCTAATGCAGCAACTTTATCAGCTCTATCCACGCAATCCGCAACATCAGCAGATACCTCAATTTCTGCTTCTCCGCGCTGTCCTACACCTCCTTCCTCGTCATCGCACACGACACTCTCTACATCAACAACTCTACGTCCTGTTCAGCGCACGCTAGCAATGGCTTCTGAGTCGCAGATCGTCAGCCGACAGACACCTCGGGCTCAATGTCCCACTCCATCTTCAGCAGGAGCCTTACCATCCCCGGCTTCTGGCGTAGACATCGAGTCTGATTATGCAGGCGATGGAATGGAAGTGGATACAGAAGGAATTTCAGCGATGATGAATAGTCGCAATAACTCGGTATGTTTCTTTCAGTCATTCTGGCTTATCCATTCGTTCAACTTGTTTCTAGACAGCTCCAAAAACATCAGACAGACATCGCGAGGCAAATAAAAAATACAGGCAGCGGTTGAAGGAAAGAATAAAAAATGGCGAGATGTATGTGCTCCCTGCTTCAATCTAACTCGCCAACGTATTGATTCCCATTAGTGATGAATTAGAAGCCGAGAGAATGAAAGAGAGGAAGCGAATTAATGCCCGTAATTCTCGGTGAGTCGAACATAACTGCTGCATTGTTTCATCATTTCAATCATGTTGGTAGTGCTCGAAGAAAGCTGGCGATGCGCAATGAAGCAGCTAAAGACAATGGCTCCATGTCAAGTGTCGAGCCTGGTCCTCTTCTTACTCCTCGCATCCAACCATCTCCCGCTCCACCCGTTGACCCAGTCCCAGGTCCTGGTGATTTCTTACTATGCCTACCCGATACGAATCCACCAGTGGGATCTTACTACTCCACGACCTTTCACGAAATTCTTACCAAAGCCGACCCCAACAGCGGGAGCAGCGACGGCGCGAGTACCACCCACCCACACTTCGAGCCCGATAGCCACCGCAACTTCGACTTCGACTTTGATGTCACCATGCCCCCTGCTCTCTTCCCACTAACCAAAACCCGAGATTTCCGCGACGCCTGTACGATGACAGACCTCGCCCCAGATTTCTCAAAAGAAAGCGACATCCCTTCATCTCTAGAACCCATCGCCCCCGCCCTCGCCCGTCGCCCCCACAGACAACTCACCCCCGATCGTCTCCACGATTTCGCCACGAACCCACTACAGCTCATCGACAAAGCCTTCCTCCTCATTGTCCCTGATCCAAGCAGCACCCTCGGAAAACTCGTGTTATGTAAAGTCCTTGAGTACCGGGTGTCTTCTGCTGGACGTCGATTTTTCGTGCAGTTTTGGGGGGACAAGAAGGCGAGTGAGATGGGTTTGGATAGGATGATGGAGGTATTAGCAGGTGGGTACGAGATTGATCCTCCACCTGCTGATCCTAGTGCTGGACCTCAGGGGGCGGGGTTAGCGGGGAGGGTGTTTGGCGCGTTACGATCGTTTACAGGGTTTTAGACGCGTCCCGAGGCGTGTTTGTCTCCTTTGTTTCGTTTGTTCGTCTTTTTATACGTTATTTCTTCCGAGGCTGTTGTGTGTATCTACTTTGTTGTGCTACACTTCTCGCGTTGCTTTGGCTGGAGTGGATATAC